TTAAACAGCACCCATTAACCCTTCTTCTGTGCTCAGCAGCTCATTTCTGCCCCTGCACTTTCCACTCCCTTGTGTTCACATAGAGAGAATGAGAACCCCATCCTAGGAACTAGTTCATTTTTTAAAAAGTTTTCCCATCTGGTTCATGAGTAGCTGCAGGCAGGGAAAGGGATGCTTAAGTTGGCATTGATCCTGGAAAACATGATTGTCATACTGTGCTCTCACCAGTGCTTCTGAGGAAAATTTAGACTTGACTCTTTCAGATCTAATGAATGAGCTTTTTGGTTGTCCCAGCCACTCCCTCCTTGAAAAGAGTTAGCATTCTGGACTGCACAATGGCTAAAATATCTAACAGTTATACAAATTTTGAATGCTAAAAATTTTAAGTCAAATAGTCCCCACTGAATCAAAGTATCATCTTTTGAATAACAACAACAAAAAAAGTGAACTCAAACTATTTTTTTTGACGCCTGGGGCATTTTTATGTTGTTTTCTGAAAAATTCAGAACCACTGAAAAAAAATTTCACCAACTCTATACCTGAGAAGGCAGAGGAATGCAATGCATGCCTGCTCTTATAATTGATATTCTTTTTTGCTCTAAAAGGGAAGTAAGCTAACTTTGCAAATAAGATACAGTCTGGTTGCTGATATAATTAGTCTGTAGTTCCAGAGATGCATGTTCCATGCCTTTTCAAGCAAGACACTCAGAACTGCCAAGAGAGTCAGCTGCTGCAACAATAACTACTGCAAAACCCAAGAGTCTGTTCATGGCATTCACAATGTCCTTAGACAGAAGAAATGGGTCGTTTGTAATGGTGATCACACTGAACCTAATGAAGCTAATGAGAAATTCAGAAGAGACTTGTGTGCATCCAGCCTGTCCGACTACAGGACAAGTTCTTTGTTTCTCTCATAAGGTGTTTGGTTCCTTCTCTTTTTTTTTTTTTTTTGACATTATTTAATATTTGCAAGATTCTTTGAAATCTTTCCATGTAAGTAGTAGGCAAAGAGTTTCTATAATTGACAATATTTGCTTTTACATTCCAGTATGAAAAGCTTTGCAATGGCAACAGTACACGGTTTAAAACAAAGTAAAACCATTTTATTTTCCTTTGGAAATCTATAACTTGAGCTAAAATTTCTTCCATCTGCACTCCAAAAAGTCTGTACTAAAGTTAAATATAGTTAATATGCTAGTCTTAGGTCTTAATTGCTTTTTGATCAATGGAAGTTTAGTAGACAGACAGAGAAATAAACATGTTCTTGCTAGCATCTTGTTTCCAGCTGCATTGCAGCCATTTAGTGTTTTACAGTCAGCAATGCTATGCCAGTATCTCATCATAAGCTCTGCTGGGCTTCTTAAGCTCCCAGAAAAAGAATATGATAAAAGGATTTACAAAAATGCAAGAGATAATAATACATAAGAACAAGATGTTCTATAGAAATCAGGAAAGTTTTTGAAGCTGTCTGTAAGTTCATTCTTTCAGACCTGGAAAAGCTGTAGGACAGCATTGATTTTGTAATAAAATGTACAAATGCACAAAAGAAAATGACAGAGAATGAAACACACTATGCTATAAAATATAGCATTAGCTATCCATTGGTCTCAATATAAATGCAAACCCAAATAATTAACTGTATTATTAAAAGACAACAACAACAAACCAAACCCAAACTCACCCACAACCAAACCAACTGACCAAACAAAAAAACAAACAAACAAAACAAGCCATGTGGCAACAATACACTGTAGGTACAAATAGATACAGAAGTTCACAGGGTCAAAAAAGTTTCCCTAAGCACATCTGCAGTTACTCTCTATGATTGCAACTAGGCAAATATTAACAGTCAAAGAGGCAGCATCCACACATTTCAAGTGAGGCATAGATAGATTTGTTTGCATTTTAAAGATAATGGGCAGTGCAAGAATGAGTAAAATATTTTGTCCTTTATGACAGTATGTACATAGTCTGTGATCTTTCACCTGAGAGTGATGCTGATAACTATGTCTTAAGAGCTCGCTGTTTTTTCTGCTGACTGCCTTGGATTATGACTGTCTTCCATATCACAGCTTCACAGGTGATAATGAAATGACAACACTTCTTTCAGGAATACTTAATTTGAATATTGCCAGCAATTGCACAACATTAAGTTCCAGCACAAATCAATAGCCTCTCCATTTGCAGTCCCAACAATACTGTCAAAATGCAGAACACAGAATGGAAGGCAACAAAATCTGCTGAAGGTGCTATTGTGAGATGACCATTCATCCTCCAATAATTTGGTTTTAATGGGGATATTACAGCTGCTATCAAAAACTACAGGAGACAGTATTTTTTTCCCTTTTTAGGGGTTTCAAGGCTTGGAACCACACATTTCTCAACTCAATACCTCTAAATTAACCCACGATTATTCAACTGCATGAGAATTGTTAGACTGTTGGAAACCACATCCCACATTCTGTCTTTTTATAGTAAGCTTCCTTATAGTATCATCTTGCAGTGAAACCTGAATATCTTAATGAGATTAAACATAAAAGGAAGTGAGGAAAAAAAGCTGCTGGATTAGAATTTTAACTGAAGCCTTCTATGAGAAAGACCACACCACTATCAGTGGCCTTTCTCTCCTCATGTGTGATCCCACTTGCACCTAGTCAAGTGTCCAAAGGAGACTCCATCAGTTCACTCTGTATTTATCCTTTTTCTTTTAAAACAGGGTCTCATTACTAACAGAACAGGTATTCATGCCACTGATGAGGGTGTATCAACTGGCTCTGCAACACTGCAAAAATTTCTCTAGTATGAAGAGCAAAATATAATGATCTGTTTAAGACCTGAGTTCTGTATTGATAAAAAAAAATGATTCTAAGCAAAAGGTGATACATTCTTTCTAGCAAATAGGAAAAAAATGCAGACTTTTAAGTGTTTTAGAATGCCATTTCTATCTGCAGCTCCAGCCTTTGTTTGTTTTTTAAAGGCACTCTCTGATAAGTTTGCCTCTAACATATCTAAAAGTTGTTTTAGAATCTCATACTGTATCTTCACAGTGGTTATTAGATACCACAAGAATGCTTTTCATCTCATTTTTACCCTAAACTCCTGAAGTCATCCCTAGCTCTGAACAATTGTATTAGTTAAAAGGCAGTTATTCACAGAGGAGCACAAAACCAAGCTAAATCAAAAGAAATTTCTAAAACACTTTTTCTGTTTATCAGTCTAGATCTCTTTGCCTTCACAGTGCTTCAAAGATTCATACTCAGTCTCATAAATGATATCATAAAACATTAACAACAGTGTAAACTCTGGTGTGGGAAGATATTTTTGAGGTTGAATTCCTGTTCCTACACTCAGATATGTGTCCCAAATAAGGAAACAAAAAGAGCTTTCCTCACATCTTTCCAGCCAGTGTGTTCTCCTAGCAACATAACTCCAGATCAACTTACTACTCTTCTCCTTTTCATATTAAGTCATACTTTAGATGTGAAGCAGGTTGCTGTATAACTGAACTGAAATCTCAGGTATTATATGTGTTTATTCTTATTTTACTGTAGCAACTACTACATGTAGTGTTGAGTCAGTGCAAATCGCAAAGGTCCTTGACCTTTTGAGCTTGTAAGAGAAGTCTAAAAGAAGAGACAGAGAATAGGTGGGGGCCCAGACATCACCATAATCAGGTATTCAGGTCAGCAGGCAGTACACTATGACTACTACCTGCATTTTCTCTGGCAGTCCTGATTTACAGATTGAGATAATTATTGCCAACACAGAACTTGCTATCAACATTTATAATCTCTGACTCCTGTTTTAAGTCCTACTGCTTATTTCTCCCCAAGAAAAAATCCCTCTTGATCTGCCACATCATATAAATGCTCTGCCTTCTACCACCCTGGTCTCCCAACCTCTTCTGCAGTATATGGAAAGAAACCAGGGAAGGATAGCAAGTTTTGCTAAAGGATATACTAAGATCTTTGTACAGAAAATAAATAAAGATATGATTAGATATTTGACATAAACAAGCATGACAGTTTCAACACAATTGTTTAAAAAATTCTGCTTCTTGGTTGCAGAATTAATTGTGACAAAACATATTACTCCTGGATGCCCTGGAACAAACCCACCAATCCTGTTAATCTGCCTATAATTTCACAGAAAAATGCACTGCCCACGATTACCATTTACAATGTCACTTCCCTCTTTGAACTGTCAGGTTTATCTTTGCCCATCATATCAAGCAGCAACCAACATTTAGTCCTCAAACTTTGCAATACAAAGAGCTTTCATCCAGCATGTGTCCCAGGTTTTCTCTCTTCTGCATAATATTTTTATCACTATAAAAACCTTTTATCACTATGAAACCTTCACTGTTACTTTCACTAGATTTATTCCATTTTTGTGTCTAATTTAGTCTGAGATCCCCTTTCCCAGCCCTTATTAAGCCATATTGGACAGATTCTGGTCCTTTTTTCATTCAACAGACCCACTCCTTCCTAAGGACTGCTATTTGTTGGGAGTAAATTATGTGCACTCCCAAATTTGTATTTGGATAAATGCAAAGTAAGCAACAATTATCCCTTCCTTTGGAATTATGAGTGAAGGTTTTTTTTAATTGTGTTTATTGATCTAGAATAAACAGTTTTCATTCATAAATTATCTGGCAGCATTTGTCTTGGACACTGGTAAGTAGACTGTCATCATAAATATCTTCCCTGGATTACCATGGCTCCAATGTTAGAGTGAGACAGTTATGAAAAGTCGTAAGAAATTTTTGGCTGACCAAAGTAAGGATTAATTCACCTGGATCTCTCAAATACATGGTAACAGGTACTGACTCTGGGCTTGCCTTTTATATCTAAAGTGTTCTGTAAATGCTGAATTTCATACAATCTCAACAAAAACTGGCTCTGCATGAGCTTTTGCTCATGTACCCTAATTTCTACCATGAAATAAACAGAATCCAGCTATTCCTACTAATTTGTATAGCAAAAGAATGTAGACAATACCTGCACAAACCCACACATCATATAGTCATCAAACAAAGGGAGGCTAGGGCGGTCTTCTCGATAAATTGTGATTCTGTAGCTGCTCACAACCTCAGGGCTGGGCTGTGAATCATCCGTTAAGAGAATGATGACTTTGTTCAATCCAAGGCCAAGCGGGTAGTTAGCATTGCTGTATGACAAAACAGGAAAGAAGTGCAATAAACACTCAAGAAACAAAGATTTTACACTCTTATCTATGGCTGTTAAACTTGCTCCTAGAGGCTTCTATTAGTAACATTTTCTTTCTCTTATAAAATACATGAGATTTTAAATAAATCAGTGCAAAATAGGATTTGTGAGTATTTGAAGTTCTTTCAAGAAGACAAAATATTGAGAGTGAAATATAGTGAAAGCAGTGGCAGTGACAAATATTCTGACATGAAATCTGTGAATGAAATAATTAGGACAATAATTCCTGACAGGCCCAAATTTGTGATAAAGTCAGCAGGGAGACAAATACAATCAGAAATGTAGCTAGCTGCTGAAATTGTCCACTAGCCAAATGTGATGGATTCCCAGACAAACTGCTCAGACAAACTAGAGCAAACTAGAACAAAGCTGAGCTGCGTTCTTCTTCCTTTAGCAGGGAAATAAATGCTGAAAGACACAGAACCTGCACATGCAGGACTTTTATTTTTCAGTTTAAAGAACATCTTGCTATTCTTTTTAATTCTACAAGGTTTTTTTGAGGTTTTTCACATATATTCATGCTGACTGCCAAGGCAGTTAACATTAAAACAGAGAAATGTTGGGGGAAGAATTTAATGACAGTTTCTTTTGAAATGATTAAGACTGATTTCTTATTGAAAGGACAGGAAACATATTGGGCATTAGATCAGTAACAACTGCACAGACTTTCTGGTTAGTAGCAGACATTCTAGGTCAAAGCATCTGCTTCCCAGTCAGTCAAAAGGTGGTGTGTTGGTTAAGCACTTCATGTCATGAAGCAAAGTTAGATCTGAAACGGTTAAGAATTTTTCTTCCCCAGTAAATCACTGTCCCTGTTCTCCCATTTATCTACACACTAATGGTTAGTATGTAAATAAGCCCGTTCTCTGGTTCTGAGGTACCTGACCCAGATAAATAAACAGTTTATTCCTCCCAACCTTAAAACCAGGTCATACCCAAAATACCTATTGGTATTGTCCCTGGTACATGCTGTTGTCTCTGACAGCGCTATTTGGGAAAGCAAAAACTGTGCCAGGGTTCATAGCAGCAATTAAACATCATGGTTTATTGTGGGTCAGTGCTCAAACACGATGTTTAGTGATGGCTGCTCTCTCCTCTATCGTCCAGCTTTATAGTTCTCTAAAAGATCACATAAGCTGGGATCCTTGTGGATGACAAGATAACCCACTTAGTGGATGAGAAAAAGACTGTGCCTGTTGCCTACTTTAGTGAAGCCCTTGGCACTGTTTCCCACAGCATTCTTCTGGAGAAAACTTGCTGCTCACACCTTATTTTCACATACATTTTGCTGTATAAAAAACTGGCTGTATGGCCAAACCAATCACATGGACATGGAGACTGAGGGCACTGTCAGTCAGTTTGCAGATAACACTAAGTTGGGTGGGAGTGTTGATCTAATGGAGAGAAAAAAGGATCTTCAGAGGGATCTGGATAGGCTGGATGGAAAGGCTGAGGCCAGGTGGATAGGTTCAACAAGGACAAATTAGAGGTCCTCTGTGACTTGGGTCACAGAGCAGGCAGAGCTACAGGCTGTGGACAAAGTGGCTGCAAAGATACCTGGTAGAAAAGGACCTGAGGGTGCTGGTCAAGAGGTGCTGAACATGACCCAGCATGTGCCCAGGTGGCCAAGAAGGTCAGTGGCATTCTGTCCTGTGTCAGGATAAGAATAATGTGGCCAGCAGGACCAGGGCAATGATTGCCCCCATGTACTTGGCATTGGTGAGGCCACACCTCAAATCCTGTGTTCAGTTTTGCGCCCCTCACTACATGAAAGACATTGAGTGGCTGGAGCACATCCAGAGAAGGAAGGAAGCAAGGTGAAGGTACTGGAGCACAAATCTGGTGAGAGGTGGCTGAGGGAGCCAGGGGTATCTATTCTGAAGAAAAGGAGACTGAGGGGAGACCATGTCACTCTTGACAACTGCTGGACAGGAGGTTGTAGAAGGTGGGGGTCAGTCTCCTCTTCCAAGTGAGAGGACAAAAGGAAATGGCTTTAAGTTGCACCAGGGAAGGTTTAGGTTTGATATTAGGAAGAATTTCTTCACTGAAAGGGTTGTCAAGCATCGGAACAGGCTGGCTGCCCAGGGAAGTGGCTGTGTCAACATTATGAGAGCAATTTAAAAGCTGTGTAGATGTGACACTTAGGGATATGGTTAGTGGTGGGCTTGGCAATGCTGGGTTAACAGCTGGACAAGATGATCTTAAGGGTCTTTTCTGATGTGACTTCTGTGATTCTATGACAATCCCCTACAATACAACTATGACAAAAATGGATCATTCTGAGTTAGTAAACTTCAACTTATTTCTTCTTTTGAAGCCAGCTGCCCTATTTTGACCCATGTAAACAGACCAAGACCAGCAGGGCAGCAGATCAGGGCACTGTGCAAAATTAACACGTGGATACAAAAGCTCAAATTTCCTGTCATCTACTGTGTGCAGTATAGTGATAGTCTCTTCCCACCCAGCTTTGATGCTGTCAGTGACTACAGAAGCTGGGTGAGATACTGGAGCTGTACACTCCATTAAGATAGAGTTAATTACGGCTTGAGAACAACATATTACCATTGCCTTCAGGACATTGGAAATAAATACAAGTTTCTCAGTGTTGAACTCCCTCTGACTTTCCTGTGACTAATCTACTTCTGTCCTGGGTTTTTGTAAACTAAAAAATTTCCAATTAAAAAAAAATTCCAATACTTCCAAAATTAAGTTTTTACACTCATAGTTTGTTGCTCATACCTTGGCCCATTCTTGTCGTCGAGGTGTACATGGCATTGACAATTAGAGGGTTCTGCTCCTATCTTCACTGTCACCATGTCAAATGGCACTTCTGCATAGTATTCTCTGATCTTTGGGTTAAACTGAGGATTCAAGTCCAGCTGTGGACTGGTGAAGATCTGTCTGATATGAGATAGGGTATCTTTATCTGTTCCAAGAAGGCATCAAAGAAAAAAAACATTGTGAAATGTATGAACATTTTGGAACAACATGCAACTTCTGGCAGATTGATACCATGTACAGTGGCAAGATATTTAATGCCTAGTGACTTTGAGATTCATAATCCTGCTGCAAAGTTTTAATGGAGTTTGTAATGGCACTTGAGAGAAATCTGCAGGCCTTGGAGGGATTTTAAACATTCAGTGTCCAATCACTTTAGTCCTAGTCACAAAACTCAAAGCCTGGGTAAGCCTTTGAAAATGGAAGGATTAAGTCTGGGAGATCTGTCTCTAGTTAACTGAAACTTAAAGAAGAGGTAGGCCAAAATTCATAACCTGCTTAGGTACCAGGCCGTGTACAGGGTTTATGTAAAAGTGTAATTTCCAATAAAAATCAAAATAATTTAGACATAAGAGTATTCTTATTGTTCATAAGAACAAGTCACATGGAGATATCAAGACCCATGGGGTCATTTGCAGTACAGCTGGAAGAATGTTTTATTAAAATTCCTATATCAACAAATTCCAGCTCCTTTCCTGTGTATGAAATCTCAACAATCAAATCCTATTTGCTCAAATGTGTCCTTTATTTTATAGTTTGCCAAATTACTCATGAGAATAATTATTTGTTGGCAACCTACTTACAAAAAATATTTTAATCCAGCCTACTGGTTTCAGATTTACAGTATAATACATTCAAAACTGCTTTACACATATATTCATTAGTACATGTTTTAAACTGGGTACTTGAGAAAATATTACAGATAGGAAATTACTCTAATATCTAACAAAATCTTGTGGCTTAGAAGGGTAAAAAATGAGGCAAATATTTTTATTTCTAATTTGAAGTATGCGCCCTGAGAACCAAAATGGGGCAATTTGAGAACCCTTTTGCATGGATTAAAATTTAAAGGAAGACATTCCAACAGAAGAACAGAGTTTGGGCTAGTTTTGTAGAGGACAGTTTACCCATTGACACACAGAAGACACTTTGAAAATCTCTACAGATTAATATAAATAGTTCTTCATATTCCGTATGCCTTACTTAGAAATGTTGTCCCACTACTAGCTTAAAAATGAGGAAGAATTTCATAGTAAAATTAATTGAAGTATTTTTAAAATAAAGGATCATGCAATTAGAATGGTGATGCCAATCAGCCAGCCCAGGAGTATTTCTGGCCTCTATCTGGCACAACAATAGCTCCTGAAGGCAGCATGAGATCAGCAACAGAGGGGACATGAGGCTCAATGTGTAGCAAAACCTTTCCACCATAGGGAAATGGCTTCACATTTACAAACGTGCCCCTCAGATAATTTGGGAATAAGGAAGGCAGCAGAAAGCATTGCTACCACCAAAGAAAAACATATTTTTTATCTTTACAGATATTTTAAAACATTTTAAATTTTCCTACAAACAGATATTTTAGAAAAACTCCTCATCTCTTAAGCAGCTCCTTAATACTCCATTATCGAGCTGAAGACAAAGCTTTACAAAAAGCTTATTAAACTCCAGACAAGTTTAAAGGTTTTTCCATAAGAACAAATGTATGCTGAGGTTATTGGAAAGAGGGGAGCAAAAGTCTATTGAAGTGTGACAAGGGATCAATGAGTGCTGGAATACTGACATTAATATGGACATACAGCAGTGTTTAATTTTGGTTTTGAGGCTTATTTAACATAATAGCCCATTTATTGAGTGCTTTATAATCATTCTTGCTATTTAAAAATCCTTTTTTTTTACTCAGTAAAAGCCCACAGATACTCTATTTGCTTAGCGATTATGTAAAGAAACCCAAGACATTTTTTTTAAGAATTTTTTTCCCCTTTGTGGTCTAGAAAGACCTTTACTTACCATAACTGCACTGTCTTTCTCCAGTCTTACTGGAATAATGCAAAGCTGAAAGATAAACAGGAACATATAATAATTTTCTGTTCTCACCTTGATTACTGTCCTACTGGAGAAGCAACCATCTTTTACTTTTAAGAGACACATTGTATTTTTATTCTTTACAGTGCAAGATCTTTAGGCTTGCAAATGCTGCTCCTGGGCTCCATGTACCAATTTACGTAAGATAAGGAAGAAACTTTTATATGTAGTAAGCTAAGACTTTCCAGCTCGAACACAAGGCAATGTGATCTCAATCCACACATTACCAGACATAATATAAATAGGAAAAACATACTGTGTATAAAAGACCTTACTCTGAACCCTTACCTTCATAGTTCTTTCTGAAGTCAGAAGGAACATTCTGCTTAGGATTCATATTTTCTTGAGAACGTTGCCTGTCAATTCAATAGCAGACATATTTCTATATGAATGTAAGGAACAGAAACAATGAAATATTTCGCAAAAAAATCAGTATTTTAGTATTCTCCACAGAAAAAAAAACCCTTCTGAATTCATATTTCCAGCATTAGAGATATTTAGATATTTCCTGAGTGAACGTAACAGAAAACACACATTCCACAATGCATGGCAGCACATCACATCAATAGAAACAAAAAGAAATAAATTCCAAAACATAGTTGCATTGTTGGGAAAAGGAAGAGTGGATATAGCCAAGAAGAAAATAAACCAAACCATATATTTTACCTGCTTCTATGATAGATTTTTTTGCATACACTTGAGATCAAAGTTAGACTTTGTTCAAAAAGAATTAAATAAAAATAAAGGCATGTAAAGATAAAAATAAAGATAATCTCCGGGGGATTATCTGTACTGACATTAGCATGAATTTCTAAAATGGAACCTCTATGTGTTTTGCTTTGTTTGCAAATGAAGAAAAAATCCTGCGTGTGTGTGTGTGCGTGTGTAAATTCTCTGTGAAAAAAAAGACAAGTCAATTGCAACAAATAATCAACATATCAGTGGTGCCCATATTGTGAACTCTGCAGATTTTTTCTTTCAAGTACAACTTTGGTAGCATGGTAGAAAAAGGGGAGTAGGCCTGTCTTCAATCCAACCCTCTGGCTGATAAGACGTGGTTGGAGGTCCATTAGCATTTCTTGAAGCTTTCACTGGTTTTCCTCCTTGTGTTTCCTTTAGTTCTTGTAATGCAGCTTCTTCCTGGATATTGCAGTTTGGATTTCAAAGGACACAAAGCCACTGTCAAGGAAGGGAGGTGGCAATATTTTTCTGTGCAATCATCCATCACTGATGTTTCAACAGGAGCTTCTGAAAGCAGTATTGAGGTCAATCATGTAAAAAGGTAAACTGTGCAGTGATAAAAAACTGTCCAGGGATAAAACAGATTTCTGCATTAACTCAATGAGATAAGGAAAGAAGCAGCTGGCAGATCTGTGTCTTTGTGTGTGCAAGAAAATGTAGTTCTGAGCTTGCAGTGTCTAGACACCACCCTAATTTCATGCAAATTCATCACCTTCTTCAAAGGAGGCACTTAAACTCTTGGAGGGCTTGCTTTCCAAGTTGTAAGTAATTTTGCACCCCTCCTTATGCTTGTCAAGGAAGTAACAGCTAAAGTCTGTCAAATACTGTTGCATATAGGTAAAGACTTAAAATATAAGGGCCTTACTACCCTTGTAAAATCATGGCTCAAACCTGCTACTTCAGCTAAGTAGAAGAGGACTATGGGCAAGTGACTCAGCTGAATTAGAGGTAGAAAAACAAGTTCTATAACCATTACGTGTTCACATTGTTGGGTATGGTGGCTGGTTGGATTATGTTTGCCATGATTTAGAACTATGTAACTGATAAAGGCCTGGCTGCTTAAAAAGGCCTGGCTTTTGCAATAAAGCAGCTCTCCTCTGCACCTGCCTGGGGACTCAGCTTCACTTCGTACATCTGGTGCCCGAACAAAATACGTTTTTTCTCTCCGCTGTTCCTTTTTGCTTGCCTGGTCCCAAACCCTGTTTTACAGTGAAAGCAACATGTCTTAACTCTACGAAATGACAGACTTTGGTTTAGTCAGAGAACACCTCAGGAGTGTGGCTGCTACCACAACTGCAAGGTCCCTGTATACAAAGGAACAGCATGACGTGTATGAATCTCAAATCTGTAGAGACTGCAATTAACATCAGACAGTATTAAGAGACTTACAATAACTATATCTGATTGCAGCAGTATAGCAACATGAAGCATTTAGAAATCATATTAGAGAAAGATAAATTGCAACACAGCCAGCAGGACTGCGGCAGTGATTGTCCCCCTGCACTCAGCACTGGTGACGCCACACCTTGAAATCTTATGTTCAGTTTTGGCTTCTCACTGCATGAAATACATTGAGGTATTGGAGCATGTCCAGAGAAGGGTAATGAAGCAGGGGAAGGGGCTGAAGCACAAGCCTTATGAGGAATGGCTCAGTGAGGTGAGGGTATTTAGTCTGGAGGAAAAGAGGCTCAGAGGAGACCTTATCGCTCTCTACAACTCCCTGAAGCAAGGTTTCAGCCCGGTGGAATCATTCTCCCACATAATAAGTGATAGGATGAGAGGAACCTGTCCAATATAAATGACTCTATGGTTCAGTGATTTATCTCTACTGCAGCCTGAGCTTTCTAATCATCAGCACCATGAAGCTTTCTTTGTCCAAGCTGCTTGCAATCAGAGGACTGAGATGTGATGCAGTTATGAAGCTCCTCCTAATACAGAGGACTTTGCAGACTCCTGTCTTTCACATGCTGTTACTGAAGAAAGGACCTTAATCTATTTGAGTGGCCTCCTATTTACTTAAGTGTCTTGGATGTGTCAAGTACAGATGTGCTCTTTGCCTACTAACTACTACTACATTAGAGCTAACTACTTTGCAGTTAGCTCTAATGAAACTAATGTTCATATGTCAGTACTCTTGGTGAGCACATGCTTGTGAATGTACCTTTCAAAAGATTCCCAATGTGTACATCACAAACTATTGACTGTGAACCTGCTCTTTAGGAATCTCTCTCATTCAGCAAACAAGAAAGGCAAAGAATTGACAGTAGCAATAGTAATATAGCTCTGATGGTCTATGCAATGAGTTAAAATATGTAAACTAGGAAACATCTTTATATCCTTATATCCTGCCTTCATCCTATGGAGTCATGATCAGTGAACAAAGTAACTGTACAAGACCTCAGCAAGAAGTCACTATTTTTCCCAAATATTTCTTGTCTGTCAATTATGCAATCACTAGATTTGATAAATGGAAGTACCAGTTTTCCACAGTCAGAGAAATAAGAACTGTTAAATAAATCAATTAAACAACCTGGCCTTAACTGAAGAAATTCACGAAAAGTGTTCTGATATACAAACTTATCAAAACTGGGAAAAAAAAAAAAGCTTAATAAAAGCTCAAAGAGAATGCATACCTGAGTTATTTGGGGAGTAAGTACAACTAAGCTCTTTCCTCCCTGCAATTAAGTATAATCACATGCATATCTGACACGTGCATAAACCTCACATGCATGTAGCTAAAGGAGGAAGATTCTGATTTAGAAATGTCAAAAGACATGTTTTTTTATACAGCGAATGAATGAATGGTGTTATTAGTTTAGCCACTGCAGAAAAATACAGAGCAAAGAAGCAGACTGGCCTATGCCCTGAAGAAAGGTCATGGTACTTCTACACATTTATACACATACAATAATGTTGAGCTTGAAGGAAAAAAAAAGAGGCCAAGGGGCTTGCTCAGAGTGAGTGGCACAGCTTAGATTAGAACAGAAAGCTGCTAAAGGCTGGTATGCTTTGATATGCAAACCTAAATATTTCTGCAAAAGGGCAAGGGCTTACATATGAATGCAAGCAGCTGCATCTTTGAATTACTTCTCATGGAGTGATTGGAGTGATCGGAGTCGCAGTAAGAACAACAATTTAGCACTTTCATGGAACTGCATATATTTAAAACACTAATAAACATTTACCTAGTACAGTGATAAAGTATAAGCTCCCTTTTACAGTAAAGCAAATAAACACACAGATAATTATTGATTTGCTGAAAGCCATGCCCAATTCAACAAGGAACAAAGTTAAAACTTAAGAAATCTTACAGATGCCTTATATACTCACTACAGCATTCTCCCAGCAAAATGTACAAATTAATATTATTCACACATTCATCTTGAGACTCAGTGGAATGGAACATACTGTCTAATACCCTCTTCCCAAGTCCTTGTTTGTAAATCATAAATGCCAGTAGTTAGTATAGCATACATGTATATGAAACATCATTAGCTAAGAGATAATAATGAAAACAGAAAACACATTTTGGAATATTTTATATATACTGTAAGTTTTCTCTCTCTCCCCTTCCTCCCTTCCTCCCTTCCTCCCTTCCTCCCTTCCTCCCTTCCTCCCTTCCTCCCTCCCTCCCTGTCCCTTTTTCCCTTGTTCTGTTCTTCCTTTCCTCTTTCTCTCCTCATGAAAGTTAAAGCTTCTTGCCAAAAGTTCAGTTCATCTAACCTTGTAATTACAGCATTTTTTTTCATCTTTTCACAAGGAGTTAAAATATGGTTCTCAGAGTGTTATGCTCTCTGACTTGTCTTTTTTTGGACAGAAAATTTGGAGCCAATAAAAATTATTAATTCTTTTGGAAAACCCTTCACCTGAAATTTTATATTTTCTTTACTGTTTTGCTGTTTATTGGTGCATAAATTAAGACAGTCTTAACTTTGGGAAATGCTCCTAATTTAGAGTTTACAGCTGTTTAGAAAAAAAAAATGTACCTAATTAATCTTTCTTAAAGAAAATATTCTGATAGTTCTGATTAATTTTCAACCCACAGTCCTTCATATTAGATAGAGAAGCAAACCCTGCTCTGTTTAGAAACCTAGCTACAGTTCTAATGGCAGAATGGCTGACAGGGCTCCATATGGGATGATCGACCTTCATCTCAAGGGTTGCAAGCACACCTACATCTACTGAAGGATAAAGTTTTATGACACTCACTGGAGATATTGCAATTATATAACTTGAGAAACTACCCTTAACACATATAATAGTTATCTTACCACTCTGAAAGATTTGTATGTGCCTCTTTATTCATGAACTGGAAATGCTGAAGGACACTGGAAAGCAACCAATGCACAGTCAGGACTGAATTAAGCCGTCTCATTGGGTCCACCATTCGATATAGGTCATGCAGCAACATTTGGATCTTGGGTGCAGAAGAAGGGAAAAGCTGAGAAGAGAGACACTGATTTGAGACAACACAGTATGACATTTGTAGAGTGCAAAGATATGACAAATGATCAGAAGACAGTATATACAGCATAGGATTGATTATATATTAATTCTTTCCCATATGCTTAGAAAAGGACTGTCATGCCCAGCCTTGCAAATCAGGATTACCAGTACTGATGAGGAAGTTCATCTTCTCTGCCTCTGAGCTGGCCCTGAGGTTTGCTCAGCTGGTCAGACTGTGAAGCTAATAATGCCAAGGTTACAAGTTCAATCCCTGTATTGGCCATTCACTTAAGAGCTGGACTTGATGATCCCTCTGGGCCCCCTCCAACTCCAATAATTCTATGAATTCCAAATCTACTAGACTCAATGCTTCTTCAGAAAGTTTCCATCCTGGATACTCATCCAGGAAGTCTCATAAAAAACCTGATAACATGCATACTTTCTGAAGAAAAGATTCAGTTGCAGATCCTTTATTTTCTGAATACCCATCATTTCCCTCATTAACTATGCCTACTCACAGACATTGATTGTTATTCCTCCAAATTCTTCTCCAAAAATTACCTCAAAGTAGGAAGAAGAAAACATAACATATTCCACCTGCTTATTTTTTTTTTTCTTTCCACTTTTTCATCTAGATCTACTCTTTGGTAATGATCTCAGTATTGTACTTTCTCTAGTCCTTCCTTTTGCTTTGTTATCATTCTATTTTCTTATCACCTCATTAGTCATTTACATTGTTTTCATTGTTTTCCTTTCCTTCCATTTTCTGGTCTCTGTGCTTAGCTGTCCTTTTCAGTGGAAGCTCAGCTCAAATACTCTGTTGTTTCTTTATCTATTTTAAATTAAATTCAAATGACCCACCAAAGGAAAATCAGTGTTACCTCTATCTCTTTGCTTCCCTGCCCATCCTGCCTAATTACATATGCCAAAGACAGCAGAGAATGATAATGAAGGAAAAATGTTAGGAGATTTACATTATAGATAGATATCAAATAAAACAAAACCCTATTTATTTTACCAGCTCAAACTGTCCAAGACTCTTCAGCTCCTTTATGAAAGTAATCATTGAATGTATCTGTTCCAAAGAGAAACATTGCTCATCTTCTCTGTTGTATGTTCCATCCTGTGAAGGAAAGGGCAGAATGTCTACTGAAATCACAAAAACAATGTGCTTTCATTAGACTCCAATCCCTTCATTGACCATAGGAAAAAGTTACAGCAGCTCTCAACTAGCCCTAACCTCAGCCAGCCAGTTCTTTGAGAGCTCATCCCATTTTTCTGTCTAGAGTAAAGCAGACTATGCCCTAGTTTTGTGTAGAAACCAACCCATAGAAACCACTGGTCTCTGGAACATAGGCTGGGTAATCATATCACTACATGTCTGGATGACTGCATCTTTCTACTTTATCCTGACATAAATTTAGAACCCATGACCCTGTTTCAGCCACATCTGTCCAAGAGGCCAAAGTTGCCTGGATAAGTGAGTCTCTGTATGTCTTTCAAGCAGGGGATTTATCAGAAATGCATCATTAAAAATTCCCAGACTGAGAGAAATACTGCTGAAAGAGATCTCAGCTTGTCAGAAATGGTTTTCACTAGTGAAGCAAAATGTATGCTATATTCTATATACTAGATTCTATTAATGGGAAAAAAAAAAAAACCAAACAAAAACCCACAACTCAAAAAACCCCCCAAAACCCCAAAACCCTGGAACTGGATTTTGCATTGAGAATAAGACATAAAGTTGTAAGAAACAAAACTTAATTCTGATGCTCATGGATTTCCATGCATGAGTTAACCCATTCTGGATGAAACTGTGAAAACACACAAATCTGTATATTAAAAAAAAGACCATTTAAAAAAATAGTGGGATTTTTTTAAAAAAAGCTTTAAATATATCTTTCAAGCACAGTATTTTGGAAAATTACATCATTTGAGAGTAGAATTTTTACAAAAGAAAACTCAATTGTTTAATATAATACAGTTTTAATCCCCAGAATACAATCAAAGATGATTTTGATTAAATAAATTCTTCATTCTATCAGTTTGCACTACAATTTCAGAAGCATACAATTTAAAATTAAATATTTTTAAATAATAATAAGAAAGAGTTGGAATGAACTACCTTGCTCACAGATGATCCATATATTTTTTGCAAAGCTTCTATGAAACTGGATGTTGAAGATTCATTAGATAAGAGAAATTTAAATGTATCTTCAAAAAGAAGTTCTTTGGAAATTTGGTCCTGAATAGTTGATTCATTTTCAACTTGAAAGTCAAAGTTTTCATGCACCTGTTGGAAAAAATATAAAAAAATACACTTTGAATAAAAATTCCAGTTTTCTTATAGCAATAAATACTAAACTGGAACTTTAAGAAAAGGTAGTAACAACACAAACTGACAGGACTACAAAACAGCAAATGCTGCACCAGTGTCTTAACTCCATACCACAATGTTTGCTGCCCTCCAGTGGAAACAGTGCAGTATTGCAGACACATGTGAAAAGCTTGTTTTCCATATTTGATTTGAAATTTGATTAAAAATATAAAATGTCAGGTTATATGTTAACATATCTCTTGAAAAACTCATATGCTAAGGGTTACTACAGAACATCTGTTACTACGGATGAAAGTATAAGTTTTACCATATGTAAACACAATGAACAAATTCATGCATATGAAATATGACTAAATTATTGTTTTGACATAAACACAAATATAGCATCAATATGAATAGGTTGTGTGCACACTATAATTTTCAGGTTACAATATTCAAAGTCAATGTTGCATTAATTATCAACAGCTATTTTCTTGAGCCATTTGTTTTTTCAGAAGAAACTACTAAATCTTACTGATTTACTATAAATTTATGGATAATGGTTGAAACTTCTATACAGGTAGGTAAACATTATGTTTTATGTTTAGTTTTTTAAGCTCTTCTGGGATAATTTTATTACAGCCTAGTATACATGTACTGACTTGTTATGATATACCACATTTCTTATACTAGCTAAAAAAAGTCTTCTCAGACTAATTAAAAATATTGTCTTTGTGGACTTTTTAAATTCTGCAGACTTCCTTTCATATGTGCATTTTTTCTTTGTGTTTAAAGAATACAGAGATTGACTGCACTGTTATTACCAGACACTTGAACAGATTTTAAGTGGGAATATATTGTCATTTTTGTTAATATCTGTATGTCATAAATAGAAAGAAACTTTTTACATACTTAGGCATATGCATATTCATGTGTATACATGAGGTAATGAGAACAGCTGGAAAGCAGTACAATAATAGTTTCAGGACAGGTTGTTCTGAGGCAGGAGTGGTACAAAAACTGGCACAGGTCTCATTTCCTTGGTTTTAAGAGCCTTGTGGATCATCCAGGAAGAAGGCAGCACAGTGGAGGTCAAAGCAGGTAATGAAATGAAGAAGTACAATCCAATTTATGGAGAACTTTAATTTGTATTAAAAGCCAATTGTGTTTTGTTAACTTCCTCCATTCATCTTTGTTCTGTCACATTTAAAACCTAACTCAACTTTCCTGCAATGCTTCATATGGATTTTATTTCACTGATACTCCTTTGGGATAATAATTAGTCCTTTAATGTAAACTGAAAAGTTTGCACATTTTGATGGTCTGGTGAATTTCATCACAGGAACTCTGACTCTTGAAAACTGGTTTCTTCTACAGAAACTCTCCACAATGAGCCAAAATTAATATTAAAGTATTGGTACATTTCTTAGACATTTGAGGGTACCTATCAAAGAGAGTTTTCTGCTGTGTTCTTCTGGGTGTAATTTTTTTGAGTCAGTCATTAATTTGTGCAATTTTCTCACCTTAAGAACTACTGGGTGTATGGACATGCTGAATCCAATGTCAAAGGTTAGCATTTGAAAACACTGGCTGCATCTGAAATACAATATAAAAGAAATCAGTTTCAGTAAGGTTAGGTACTCATGTGAAATATAGACTCATTAAATAATTTAGGTTGGAAAAGACCTTTAAGATTATAGTTTCCAATCATAAACCTATCACTGCCAAGTCCACCACTGAACCATGTCCCTGTACACAGTAAAATTCAATACACACTCAAGTCCAGAGAACACATGCAGGAAAACAAACACAGATGGGTCACAAACCAACATGTGATAGAGACTAAATAAATTTCTAAGAGCCAGCAGCATTAAATATGAAAGGAGTCAGATTGTGAGGTGGTGAAAATAGTGCTATATGGAAGTGTTTTTAATGATTGACAGAAAGGGAGGTGAATTGTGGTGAAGAAAGAAATGTCTTTGGAAGAGAGTGAATGAGCCCCTGCAAAAGCCTTGAAGATATTTGGAGGGGAAGGGATGGTGAAACACTCCAGGCTCACTGAAGCCAAAGAGCTCTGCTGCACCTATCGGGATGTTTGGAGACATAGGCCAGAAGTTATAAGCAAATCTTGTGTTACACAAACAAGAGAGTCCACTTCATTGGTAAAAAAGAGATTTTGGACTGCTGTCAAAATAGCTTCATCCCCATTACACTCCTCCCCTCCTTGCTACTCTCTCCACTCACAATATAAGCTTTATTCCAACTTGTGTAAGTCAAATAATGAGCTTTACATTACTGCTACTAAAACACCTGGTTCTCAAAATAGCTTAAACACATAAATTTAATAAATAGTAACTTATTTAGTACTTATCATAAAAATGTCAGGGATGGGACATAACATACATAGAACAAATATTAACTTTATTTAGTAAAAATATTACATAATTGAGGTTGATTTATGTGTAAGAACTGTAACACTAATACTAGTGATTACACACAGAAATGTGACTGTTCGTGCCTAGGTTTATTTCATAACATACACTTTATAAAGTGTTTTACAGTGTCTCTTGTTCAGATTGCCTGCCAGAGCCAGCTCTAAACAATCTGGGCTACTCTAGCATTAACTATTTGACATATGACAGAATGCTCACTGAAAGGAAATACAGCTTTATATATGTTAGGACTAGCCCAATTGTGCGTGATTTCTATTCATTTGTGCTGCCTGAAACACTTCATTAGGACAGCATCTGGTCCTAAGCATTCATCATAACCTTTTCACAAACTAGAAACACTGTGGGTATTGAAGAGCTGTACTCCTTAAATGCAGCATGTCCTTACTTTACAAAGAAGTATGAAATAGATGGGAATATTCTATTTTAAGATTTTTTTATTCTCTGCAATATTTATTCTATTCTAAGGAGCTATCTTCACACTAGAATTACAATGACTACTGCAAGTCACTTACTGATTGAAAGAATTTGGTCCTGAAGAAGATGATTTGCTGAAGACCTCAGTTATAAGTAGAAGTTTGTTTATAGCCTCCTTCATGTTGTTAAAGGCTTGTTGGGGAGAACTGTTCCTGAAGAATATCTCAAAAAACCTTTTCAGCTGTGAAAGAGAATACATATATTTTTGAGCTTATACCATAAATCAGTGCTTCAAATCATAAATTAAAAGGCTGATAAAAATTGCCTTGGAATATCACCTTCAATTCTTATTCATTTGTACAATGAAGTGGAATGAAAAGCTTCACACAGCACACTAATATAGAATGACTTTTTATTTACAAATAAGTATATCAGAAACAAAATCTTTATTAACCTTTTTAAGAAATATTGCTCAGAATCTAAGCTTAATTTGATAAAACATTTTGCTGTCACTGGTTCTAGGCAAACAAACTCACAAATGATTGTATCTTCATCAGTGGGTAATAGCACACTCAAAGTAAAAGCCTTCTCTTTTATTAGAGAACATTATTTATTATATTTATATTATATAATATATTTATATAATTATAGAGAATATTATTATTTTATTATTATCTCATTTATGTGCCAAGCGATATCCCCCTTGACCTTCACTACAAATCCTTACCCCTGGTCAACAAGCTTTAAATAGAATATAGAAGAAAGATGTTGGAAAAACAATCAGCCACTGCAGCCTGTGTTTTGACAGAACTCTGAATATTCTGTGGTTTTCAGACTCATGAATCCCCACCAAAGGCCTATTTGCTGGCCTGCACAGCACTGTCTTCAGGTGCTTTCATTACTCATGCAAATTCACCCCTATCATCACCTCAGACAGAGCAGAGACCCAAGAAGAGTGGGACATAGGCAGGTTTCGTAATATCAGAGTCCTTAGTGCTAAGAAAAGGGTACCTTTGAATTTCCATTGGGGTTATCATAGAGCACAGAACCCAGTTAAGGTCTGAACTATGTAAAACTGTTAGATAATATAGTAGTACTATATTACCAAAGAGTCTCTTTCACATAGCATATCTTCAGAAATAAAGCATGTAAAGTATATGCAGAACATATATTAACACTAAGAAAGGAAAATTTTCTGATTGGAAATTTCTCTACCATATTTATTTAGAAATGCCAGTATATATTTCCTGTTATCACCCACTTATACATGCCCCAGTGGGGTAACATGATGGAAGCAGGTAGGCTTCTGTAGACAACCCTCCTGAGGACTGATATGCTTGGCACCTCTCTATCTGCCTTGGACTGCTATAATCATGAACATATATCCACAGCAGATGGGTTACCCAAGCATGGGCCTTGGTAAAAGTCCACAACAAAATTTAATCTGATATTTTGGCTCCAAAGCATGATCACAGAACCAAAAGGAGCTCTGGATGTCATGTGGTCCAAACCCCCTGCTTAAGCAGGGTCATCTACAGTCAGTTGCCCAGAACTGTGTCCAGAAAGCTTTTGAATACCTCCAATGATAGAGACTTCCACAGCTTCTCTGAGAAACCCATGCCAGTGCTTTACTTAGTCACCCTCTGAGTAAAAGTGTTTCCTGATGCTTAGGAGCATGTCATGTTTCAACTTGTGCCCATGGCCTCCTGTTCTGTCACTAGGCACCACTGAAAAGGGACTTTGTCTTCTTTAAAGCCTCCTTCAGCTATTCATACACTTGATGACATCCCTCTGGCCTCTGAGAAGCTTATCCAAGATAAACAGTCCCATCTCTTTCAGCATTTCCTCATATAAGGAATGCTGCAGACTCTTAATCACCTTATTGCCTGCCCCCCCCCCACCCACCCCTAGACTTTCTCCATATGCCTCTTGTATGGAGAGTGTAGAACTGGACACAGTACTCCAGGTGTGCCACAAGGGCAGACTTCTGGCTGATGGTCAGCTAGATGTCCTAGACCCTTTTCTGCAAAGCTGTTTTCCAGCTGCTGGCCTCCAGCAGGTGCTGGTGCCTGAGGCTCTTCCTTCCCAGGTGTAGGACGTTGCAATTCCATGTTGAATTGCATGAGGTCCTTGTCAGCCCCTATCTCCAGTCTGCTGAGATCCTTTCAGGTGGCAGGATCATCATCTGCTGTATCAGCCACCCCTCGCAGTTTTCTGTCACGGCAAACTTGCTGAGTATACACTCTGCTCAATCATCCAGACAAAGATGTTGAACAGGAAAAGACCCACTATGGATCTCTGCATACACCGCTAGGTCCTGATGTGCTATGATGCATTCACTGTGCTGACCCCAGAACTTACAGCATACTTCTCTCCACCCTAGTCCACAGAGTTTTCTAGACAGTTTTGGAGTCTCCCAGTCTCCCCTTGTTAGCATGAATACTTTCAAGCACACTGGTCTGCACTGGCACAGATGAATATCTTTCAGTTTCTTCAGGTACCATATTGCAGTTAAATGTAATAAGCACTTTTTATTTTCCTTTTTAAAAAATACTGTAACATTGCTAACAGCCAGACATGGGAGATACTTAAATATGGAGCTAACATTGATCCCCCTTTGCTTTTTGCTCTCTTCTATTTCACTAACTCCATCCAGTTGTGCTGGTAAATAACTGAACGGTAGGAGTTTGGTCTGTTTGCCTTTCTGTTCTTATCACCTCTGTTTTCATTTCAACAAGTGGTTGCCTTTATAAGTTTTACTGACTAAAAGAATTGTGACCCATGCACAGATCTTTGCTGAAGGTTTATAGTGCCTGGGACTTTTTTTCATCTTTTTAGCAAAGCTATTTGAAATGCCAGTAGGAAAAAAAATGACAATGATATATATGGCTGAAGTTATAAAATTAAACTTCTGACTTCAGGAAATGGTGAAGCAAAGGTTGCACTCCTCAACTCTGTTCTTTGGATATTTGCATGATGCTGAAATCTTGAATTAAATCACACTGAATTTCTATCCCGTAGAATGTTTTCCATGTGTACTGCAGTTCCATGAGCCCATGGGGTAGTAGAGTCCCAGATGCATTATTTAGAGATTATGCAGCTCTTCACATCATGCTCTATTTCATCTCCAAAACAGGCTGAAAAATTCTTGTTTCCCAAAGTCTAAGACCACCAAAGCTGTGTTTCTCCCACAGAGTGGTACAAAGATTAAGAACAAGAAGCTCCACATTTTTCAAATCAGTTCTGATTCAGATTCATCTTAAAGTGAAATTGTTCCACTCCAGCTCCTTGTTCAAGACAAAAGCAGTTAATTAAACCATTCAGGTAAATAAAGAAAAAAGTTAAAATTAAGACTCATCTCACCAAGGTGGTTTCTCTAAATTTTGAAATTATTAACAGCACCTCTGCCAGATTCTGCACACAACTTACATTCCCACTACTCTGACTTGCACCTTTTCTTTAACTTCCTAAATCTCCAGTGGGTATTGAAGGAATAAGTGAGAAGATGGTCTACTGTGCTGCACAGGGAATATAAGGAGCTGGAGAGTTTTATAAGGAGGGATGGGGATTACTGGAAAGAAGAGCAAGAACACCATTAGCTCATTTCCTCCCTTACCATTAATTCCCAAGCACTTTAACACAAAGGATACATAATGCATACATTTCTAGTAACAATTGATGAAGACAGGCTAGCTTGACCTATTGGTAATCAGAGCATGCTGTTAGCTATAATAGTCAACTGTTGCCACCAGAACAGGCATTAAAATAGAACTGGCATCCCCAAGAAATTGCATTTTAGTTACAGCCTTCCTTAGCCAGCCTAGAAAAGAAACATTGCTCAACAGGTTCTCATTGGAGGATATCAGGTTTGAGACCAATGTTTATTCTAAGCCAATGGTGAAAATAAATATTTAGTCAGGCTGGTTCAGGGCCAATAGAGATGAGATGAGATGAATACTTAGGTTTTAATGAAACTCAGGTTAAATTCCAATTCATAAAAGAATCCTATTTAAACAAGTTCAGGTTAGGTTTGACTCCAACAGATTCCACAGGATTTGCAGCAACAGATAGGAAAAATTTAAAGTGTATGGATTAAGAGCAATAATATGTGAAAATCTGCAGCAACCTCAGTTTTTTCTGAGTGAATAAAAGTATATAAATATCTCTGTTCAACTGCAAAATACTAAAGAGCTGAAGGTTTCTTCAAGTGACCACCACTGATTCCGATCCTCTCTCTTTCAAAGGCAACTGACTGCCTGTCCAGCAAAATTCACCCTCACCATTGATAGAGTGTGATTAATAGAAGTTTTGAACAATTTAAAGAGGACAGAGTAGGAAATACTGATAGCAATTGCAGGAACCTATTCTGGGACAAAGCTGACCTCTGGCTGGCTAACTTTTAAGCAGAAGAATAGGGTTTAAATTTTAGTAGACTGTAAGACTAAATGCAGACATGCACATGTATTTTATTCAATGACTCCATTATATACAGAATTGCAAGACTTTTTAGAAGCTCAGAGGTGTTCATCCAGATACTGGACTCATACAGTTGGACATATGTTCCAAATATTTATGTAATATCTTACAGAAGTGTGGAAATGCAGTACATGGATCAAGTACATTTCTGTAAAGGCAGAATGAACTAGAAATACTCTTTAGATTAATTTAAACTCATTGACCTTTCATTGCCCAATAACTTCTTCCTTTAGGAAAAGCCACTGGGGGAAAAAAAAAAAAAAGGCCAACTCAATATTAATTTTATGATGCTTTTTTTTTTTACCCATTTTGACATCCAGTTTTCAAAATCTGTAGTCATTAAAATTAGCCTTATAATCTCAATGACACAAATCCCTGTGGCTCCTCAAAAACACACTGAATCATCAGGTAAAGGTCTGACACATTAAAAAAATGCAATTTAATTGGCAAAGGAATTCTCATTTGCAAATTTCCTGCATGGAGTCATGGAGCCTGAAGAAGAGTGGAAGAGTGTGGAACTCACTGCGATGAATGTTATGATGACTGTAGTAATTCCCTCAAGAAAATTTTCCTTGGGCAATTTTTCTGCAAATTAACTTCTCAGGAGAGCTGCTAGAGCAGCCTGGGGCAGTCACCTGAATTGCCAGCTGAGGATAGCCCTGAGAAAGAGTGTAAAATCAAACTGTAGTGATCTTTCTGAGGTTGCTTTCTAGCTCAATACTAAACAATCATGCCTCCTAATGAAACAAAAAAGATTTTTCTTAA